CCACGGCCCAAGACCACTGACAGCTGTGGCTGCTCCACATGACTGGGGCAGCTTTGCCATGAGCTCACCCTCCTGCTTTCTGGTGGCCCTGACTCACCTCCCCAGCCCTGAACCCTCTTAAAGAGACCCACTGCCCCCCCTCCACTGCCTGGGACCCCCACGATGGGTGCAGGGAGCTGGGGTGCACACAGCCCACAGCAGCCAGTCCACAGAGGCTCAGCAGAGCAGAGGCACAGTCCAGGTTCACCCCATGGATACTGTGCGTGGGCAGCCAGGATGCTCCCCATGGCTCTCATCACCCCATTCACACACAACCTGATGCTGCACCAGCATCACATGAGGCTCCTTTGCACCTGGGTTGGGGGTTGCCGTCCACCTCAAAGAAGTAATGGGGCCCCCTCAAATGTCCCAGCCAGCAGACAGCACATGTGCCAGCAGCCACAGCCTCTCCACTGTGCCGCTTTGGAGGATGACCTCAGGTGTGGAACATTCCAAGCAGCCCTGCCAGGGTCCCGGTGGTTGCCTGGCCTCCCTTGCCACACAAGGGCAACCTGGCAGCAGGACCAGCCTCACGTGGGGCCGGCGGGCAGAGCCGACAGCTATTCCCGGCAGTGAGGACATTGTTCAACCCCCTGGGCTTTGCTCTCCCCCTTTGTAAGATGAGGCCAGTGCTGCCCTGTGCAGGAACAGTTAATGCGCTGGGCACAGCCCTCAGCACAAGACATGGGGGAAAGACAGATGGGGACACATCACTTTCACCCTCCTGGGCAGTTCCCAGGGCCACCCTTGGGTGTCCTGTCCCATGGGTGCCAGAGCATGCAGATGCAGAAAGGCACATTTTCACCAGGACAGGCAATGGTGGCCACAAAGGTGGTTCTGGGACCGTTTCCCTCCATGGACTGTCCCCAGAGCAGACATAGGCTGAAACCTCCAGAGGGGAAGCACTGGGTAAGAGAGGTGATGGCCCCACATCAGCAACCAGCCAGGATAGCAATGGGATGATGCTGGCAGTACTGGGGAAGGGTCCAACCAGGCAAAGACCTGGGGCTGGCAGGACGGGGTCAGGATGGCACCAGGGAGCAGAGATGGGGAGCAGATGACGGACAGACTGCAGATGACAGCCCCCCAAGCCTGCCCCAGCAGCCAGAGGAAGGATGAAAAGGCTTTATTGATAAATACAGACTATGTACAGAGGGGAGACATCTCCACCCAGCCCAGCACCCTGGGGCCCCCTGGCCAGGGTGAGCTGAAGCCCAGCAGGTCACAGCCTCGCCCCGCCAGCACAGCCCAGTAGTGGGGCCCTGGCCGTGCTGACCACCCCAGACACATTTGGTCTCAAACCTCATGCAGCAAACACGGTGCATGCCCATATCCCCAGCCAAGAGGGACCACCGTGGTGGCACAGCCCCATGCAGACCTTCTGGAGGGGTCACCTGAATGGGGGGCAGCCTGAGCGGGGAGCAGAGACTGCCCCAGCTCCAGCAGGGCTGAGACATGGCATGGGGCACCCCCAGCAGTGCTGCTGCCCCCAGCTTCCTGCCCATGCCCTGCAACCAGTGTGGGGTAGCTCAGTTCCTGGGCGGCAGAGGCTGGTTGACGATCACTTGCACAACAAAATCCTTCTGGATCTTGGTCTCCTGCAGCCGTGTGCGGTCAGTGAGCAGCTTGCCCGAGAAGAACCAGCGCTGCCAGGTCATGTCGATGCCCTCCTGTGCCTGCAGCTGCTTCTTCAGCTGCCCAATGGTGTCGCCCATGCTGGCGCTGAGCCGCAGGGCCTTGCCGGTGGACAGCCGCACCTTGAGGGTGAACTCCCGCCGGGCGTTGGGCAGGGGCTCAGCCGGCTCCGCTGCCTCCTCCTCACTCCGCTCCAGGATCAGGTTGACAGGAGGTGCCAGGCAATAGACAGGCAGCTGGTACCGGTTGCCCAGCTCATCATAGCACTCCGTCAGGGACCCTGTGGATGGCAGGGGAACATGCTGTGGGTCAGCATCCCCATGGACCACCTAAATAGGAAAAGGGCCACCCCAGGCACTGGGGCAGAGATCCCCTTGACTGGGCTGAGCTGCATAGATGGCTGTTGGGAACCCCTCTCCTCCCCAGCGTAAGATCCCCATGTGCCCAGATATGGGGCACTCGGCAACCACGCCACCCACCCCACCGGTGTCATTCCTCACCGTGGGGCAGGGTGATGCTGGCTCCGTCGAGGATGGCCTGGGCCAGGCTGTGGTCGTTGGCCTCCACAGCGTAGGCAGCTGCCTTCAGAGCATCCCAGATCTCCTTGCGGCCTTCGAAGGCGGGTGCCGTGTCCCAGAACTCATCCCGCTTGCTGCGCAGCTGCCCGTCTGTCATGGGGTAGTCGCTCTTCCACTTGGGACACTCCTTCTTCAGGGGCTCATTGCGGCCTGGGGAGGGGGATACTCAGCAAAAGGACGAGGGTTCCCACTTGGGCCCTGAGCCCCCATCTCCCCATTCCTGGGGACCCCTAGCACTATGCGCAGCAGCATCCAAGGGGCTGCCCTGCCCAGCACAGTCCCCAACACAGCCAGGGGGAACCCAGCTAAAGCTAGCCCTAGCCCTGCCCAAGATCCCACTGACCCCATATCAGCTGCCCCCACAAGTGACATCACTTGTCACCAGCAGGGACAAAGGTTCTTGCCCACATGCCTGGGGGACCAGCACCTGCCCTGTGGGGTGGCCACAAGGCCTCATGGACCTCTGAGGCAGAGCAGTATTTATAGCCTGGGGAATTAGCCAGGGAATAAGCTGGTGAG